CAAGAAAGAGTTTGAAAGACTTTGAACTCTGTACATTTCTGAAGATACAAGAAAATTCAAATTTAAATCAGCACATAAGACAAGTGAAGAAGAGGTAGACAGATATTTACAAACAAAAGATTCAAGCACATCGAGAAAGAAAACGACAGGAACATTTTGAGGACGATAAGCGTTACATAGAAGAAAATCCACAGAAGAGGAATGTACATGAAGTAAAAACGCTTCAATAACATCAGAAGTTGCAAGAACAGAAAAGTGAAAAGAGGAGGAGATGAACGTAGCCAGACCGCCTTCTCGTCGATTTCGATCACGGCGAACTAATGAATAACCAGGCAGAGATAATTCATTATCGCTAATGCTAGAGTCTAAATTTGTCTCTTGAAACGATAAAATGTCATACTCACTAAAGGAGAATAAAGTTTTGTCTCGAATGAAACTAAAGTTTGTCGGTAGACTTTGTATATTATGCGATAATAAACGAAGTTTATGAGATAGTGAAGGATTTGTTTTTGTTTTGGCCCGAGTATCGTCGTGTCACTGGTAACTGCCTGCTGACACCGATGTTCCCCGATTTCGTTGGGAAGATGAATTTTGATCCTGATTTTGTTTAATATTATTATTATTTCTAGATGAACGACGCGAGGAACGATCAGGAACCGATTTCTGTTGAACGAACGAAGCAGGAGAATTTGGATACGATTGAGACGACTGTTGTTGAGGATGTTGTTGATTATTACCCGATTGTTGTTGAAGGTGTTGTTGATTATTATTGGACTGTTCTTTATGATTATTTTGTTGAGTTTTTCGTTGTTAACGTTTTTCATAAGCCAATTGCGATTGAAGTTTGGTCAAGTGTTTACCAATAAAAACACTCCTGACAGAAGCATCCGACGACTTTTTGAGAACAGAGGCTTTGGATAGAATAGACGAACGAACGTACAGATCGTTAAATGATACACCAATGATCGGCGGACGATTACTATTTAATGCGGATGACGTTCGAAATCGTCACACACCATCGATCGCTTCCGGTGGAATTTGGAGTCCGAGCCGATCGCCAACAAATTTAATAAGAACGTCTTTATCAGGCGTTCCCACCACCGGAAAGATATTCTTCACGACGATGTTTTTGTTTCTTTTTTCACGTTCAGTCGGTTCAACTAACTCATTAAGTCATGAAGTAATCAGTTGTTGTTGATCACTAATTCCGATTAACTGACACTCAATTTTGTCAATTCTCGCCACTAACATTTGGAGACACTGAGGCGGCGGTAAATCGGCTCTGGCTGCAGGTTCACAAGAGGGACAGAACCAGTCTGAATATTGTTTTTCATCAGCAAGTGTCTGATACGCTTTGTATGCCGGAATGGACACATTCACACAGCCAGTGTGAAACCACTTATTACAACGATCATAGCATAACGCATTCACATCATCGTTAACTGTGTTTTGACACGAATAAATAACTCGCTGATTGTCTTGAGATCGTGGAGAATCATTCGGTTTCGGACGTTTAGAGGCGGACGGCATGTTGAATGAATCAGAATGAACGAGATCAGAGGAATTGAAGAAGAAGAATAAACGAGGAAAAATAAGTAAAATAAACAAGCAAAAATAAACAAATAAATAAACAAAGCCAACACTATCTCTTTATAATAATTTGTAATATAAGCGTAGCACATCGATTACACCCCTACCTAACAGTGCGGAGTCATGACCTATATCCGGAACTGAATATTTATCCCAATCGGCCTATACCATTATCTCGATTGGGCTATAAATCGCGATCGGGATATAATCAAGATACGAATCGGGATACATATTCCGTTCGGGATATCGTTGCATCCCGATCGGGTTATATTACTTACTAAACATGTTCAAAAAAGTATTACAAGTAAATATGATTATCCACCGATTGTCTCGAGTGTAGCTTAAAAGTCTTGAGTGAAAAGTTAAAAGCTTTTAGTGAAAAAATTGTTTTGCCTTCGGTACCTGGGAACCTCTTCTTTTTTCACATGTCAGGCACACCACATGGAAATCTGATTCGTAAAAACCCACATATGTCAAAAGATGCAGTAAAGCCTCCTGTACAAAATACTGAAAACTGCAGGTCTCTATCTCTCTTCATTCTGGAGCTATTCAAACAATAGCAACGGACACTATATTCTGAAATGGACAGTACCCAGGTCGGTCATAACGAATACCGTTTATGCGCCGTTTCACGGTAGTTAACGATGAAAAAAGGGGTATTTACGGCCGCAAACGGTCAGAATATAGCTTTCATAAGACAAAGGCGGTTGCAAACGCTCTTCTTTCAAATTCTTTTTTAAGCCCATTTTTTGGAGAAAAAATTGAAAGACAACTTTAAATAGATTTCAAACTAGTTTAAACTGAATTATCATGAGTTGTAATTTTGTATAAACGTTTTTACTTCAAGTTTTCAAGTCAAAATCATCAACATTAACGATTCAATAGGCGCACTACAAGAAAACCTTCTATGCACAAGACATTGTTTAGGAAATTTTCACCATAACACCTGTAGCGTAATTCCTTTTCATAGTATAATTAGATATGGTGAACTTGGACGGTGAAACCGCTACTAAAAAACCTTTTTTAAATTTTACTATAAATTTTAAATTCTTTTAGTGTACACATTTATAATTAACTTTGTAGTAATTTTATTGAATACAGTGAACATATTGAAAGTCAATGAGCTCATTTTACACTGTGCCCTTTTTTCTGTGGAATTACATAAGATCACAACATTTCTCAGTTATGCTGGGTTAAGATACGCTAGGACTGAGTTTAGTGCTACCTTGTCGTCTTTTCTCATTGGTTCCTCCTATTTCAGTGAGAAAGTAACGATAGCCTTTTTTATTCTTCTCTCTTAAGAATTTATTCCTTGACTTTACTCTAGGATCTTATAAAATCATTGTCTATCTGTGTGTGTGTCCAGAAAACGTTTTAGCTTTATTTAACATTGTACGCTTTTTCGTAGAATCGCCGAAGTTCACAACATTTATCGCTTTTCCTGGGTAGAAACGTCGACCGAAGAAAGGCATGAGCATTGATTTCAATTCAAAAATCTCTTTAGACCTCTGAGGACCTTTGAAGGATCTCGTAGAGGCCTTTTAGCTTTACATTATATTACGAAACTTACACATCGAGTCAAAGAAAAATTCAGATTAACCGACGTTTGAGCGACTCCCTCAGTCTCTTTTATTCATTGAAAAAGTTTTTATCATCAATTTTTACTTTAAAAACTTCCAAAAATCTACTATGTGACACAGACATAAAACAGTGTACTTGTGTCACGAACACGGATTTTATATTTTATCCGCCCAGCTGACGAGGGCCTTAAGCAAAGCCGAAACGCCTACTGGGCAGCTCATGTCTTTCTTCTTGGTCTGTCTTTTTACAAACTCACAACCACCACCACCCTCCAATGCTGATTTTTCTCACTTTCGTATATGCTGCATATAGAGATTTGAAAGTAATTAACGATTTTCTCATCAGCTACTGGATTATAAAATGAAAGGCGAGGCGTGAATTTGTAGAACTCGATGAGATCTACTTATATCCGTCAGGAAGGGACAAGCCATGCAATGGAACGCAAATTGGAGGCTCCTATAGATTCTTAAGTGTGCTGATTCTTAATATAATAACAAAAAACGTCTAGGAAGTTTTCAGAAGGTTTCTAGACAACTGGTTTTCTAGAATATCCTTTTGTCTTAGGCAAAAAGAACATAAAGTCTTCTGGATCGACAGTAATCATATTAATGTTTATAAAAAAATTAGTACCGCTCCTCTCAGTGCCCACGACCACCCCTTGCCTGTTGGATGCAGTTATTACTAGTTAAGTCACTGAGGAGCAAATCTCTTCAAGCGCTATAACGATATAAAGCTTGGCTCTTTGAAGGGAACGTTTTTTGCCCTGCTTCCCTGGCAGATCGACATCATGGATATCAGAGATGGGATCGAACCGAACCGAACCGAACCGAACCGAAGTCGGTGCGGTTTGAACTTTTTAAACAATTGATCGATTCGATTCTGTTTCCTTTGAAACTTTTTCGGTTCGGTCCGAGGAAAATGAAAAACAATTTTATAGATACCATCAATGGGATATCACAAAAAACGGATAAAATTCTTCCCAGATATGATTAATGACGTTCTTTGTACACATTGTTCTTAGTACTGGAGTTTTTGTGTTTTATTTAAAGGACGGAAAACGGTTTCTGCTAGAAAACCGCCCAATATGATTTTGAGTGGAAATGATCGGAAATGCTTCCCTTTTCACTTCCCACTCTCAAAAATTCATTCTACTGTCTTTCAAACAAAACTTACTTTTCATTTTTCGCCACCAGTTCAACAAAAGTCCTTTACATTTTTTCGCAAATTTATCGTCCGATTTCAAAGTTCTTGAGCAAAGCTGATACATAGTAACACAGAGAATTTTCTAGGCTTCAAAATAAGCTATAAACGAGGTTTTCAAAAATATGCCCATACAGGATAATTGTCGAAATACTAGACAGATATCATAATTTTCACGAATCTTAGTGCTTTAAACACTCCTTTAGTCGCTTTTATGCCGTAATGACAAATTATATATTGTTCAAAAAAATACCATTGGATAGCCCTTGCAATTCTCTACTTATCCCCCCAAAACACTTAGTGCCTTTAAAAGACAACTCACAGAATTTTTCTTCCAAATAGCAAGTCCTATAACTCGGGGAGAGAAAGGGCTAGAGGGCTGAAACTTTCAGGATATATAGCAGATCTTTAGGGCTACCACCATAAAAACTTTTAGCTCTG